CCGGTTGCTACCACAATCTGACTCCTTAACCACTCGTTCACTTTGGCAGGTGTCCAATAGTACACATTTCAAAACAACCCCCCCCCCCTCCTCCCCCCGGACATCTAAGATCTAAGCGGATCATTCCGTGGCATCCCAAGCCAGTCATACTCCCGTCCGCCCAATGCATCTTGGATCCCACGTGCGGCTACCACACTACCACAACCGTAAACTTACAATGAACTGCAATGATAGTCCCAGCAAATACTCTAGAACTTCAATCCTAGCCCATCCGCTTTTTGCTCTACTGACCACCATATCCAATGCGTAGTAAGTAACCATGCATCTTCTCCGTCGACCATGTTCCTTCCCGGTCCAGATCTATTCCGTACTGTCAACCTATATATCCAGGCATTCCCTTCGTATATCAAAAAGCTAGGCCTATATCAGATACCATCACGTGGACCAGGACTTCATCATGTGAAGTCAAGTCAGGTTCAGCGATGTACCTACACAATCCACAAGAAGATCTACTGATATGAGATCAGAACTACCACTGACAGATAACACAATTAAATTGTCCAGTTGCCATTGCACGCACGCTAACATACAAATCCCCATACTGGAGGGGAATATTTATCATGAACCAAGAACGAGAAATAGCCAAACAGAAACGAATGACCCCCTTCAGACAAGTCTAGTATAATCTCCGTCAAGTCTGGTCGAATTATTACAGTATAAGTAATCGTAAACTCATAGCGGGGCGAGTTCAGAAGCCCCTGTTGTATAGAGTACTCTCTCGACGGTCAAGACCCGTCCAACAAGCGTGGTCCGCCCCGTAGGGAAAAGGAGGCTGTTGAGGGCTGCGCATCGAGAGAACGGCCTCGGGGGCTGCATGGCGCAGATGCTGATGACAGGGCTCAGTCAAAGTCAATCGCGCCGCACGTCATCCCACATGCCTTTGGTGTCTTCTGGCCATGTGGTTTTGGGGTCGGCTACAGTCACATCATGCGTCACGGTACACCGGGAACACCGGGGATGGTCGGTGTTAGACCCTTGTTGTTCCGATCCATCGTACTTAGCATATCCGCCAGCCAGTCGTTGTCCTCCACCAACGGAAAGGTGTCGGATACCGACAAAGCGTCTGGCGGCTCAGAGAGCGTCGGGACCGACAGCGATGGTATCGAGCTCGCTACGTGTGAGCCCATCGGACTTGGATCCAGCCTGGTCTCCCAGCCCACACGCACAGCTTGATATGTCTTGGCGATGTTGGAGAAGACGTCGCCCCCGGGATCCCCATCGAGACCGTTGAGAGACGCGACTTGGCCCATGTTGGAGATCACCATGTTCATGATCTGTATGATATCTGCCGTTCGACGAACATTGCTGGTATCCCAGACCGAGTTGTCCAAGGTCGATAACTGATAGAGCGTCACGAGGTTCTGCACCATCTGCGAGAACATAGCGAAGGGAAAGCCGATATACTCCGCCGGTGGGATGCTCAGGAACACATCGAACCACGACTTGGCAGCCTCAAGGCAACCGTACAGATAATCGAGATGTTCGTAGCTCACATTTGTGATGGAGGCAATGGCGCCTTTCGTAAGAGCGGACTCATAGAGGCTCAACGAGGTGTTGTAGTGATGCATGAGAAGGATTTCTAGCCCACATTAGCGATGACTTTACATTTATTCGAGAACAGCAAGAAACTAACTATATCCTTGGGAATTGGGTCGAACTCTGCTCATAATCCCCTGAAGTTGAGTCTGCAGCTGAGCCTGCATCGGCCGAATATATACAGCAGGCGACGGTCGCATCGACTCCCGGGACGTGGAAGACGCCCCGCAAAAGCCGCCTAGGCTGAGTTTGTCATTGATCAACTGAAGTCGAACTTGCTGGACAAGAATTTCGTCGTTGATGCTCTCCTGTTGCTCCTCCAGTAAACGAAGACACTCATCCATGTAGGATGTCCAGCGCAGGGAATCGCTTTGTTGCAGGAAGGTAGCGATGCTAGACTTGATGTTAGGGCATGGCTTCGAAGGCAAGGAGGAGGATAGTAATACATGGACGTTAAAAGGAAGCATCCCAGAACAGCCCTGCGCTGTTCCATGATCTGACTGGGAGGAGCCGCGCGATCTTCGTGGGCTTCCGTATGTACACACAAGAGCACGTGCTTTCCCTTTGCCTCGGGATTGAAGAGACCCATCTCATAGACAATACCATTTGCAAGCTGAGTGAAAACGTGCACGTTGGCTTTGTTGTAGACTTGTTGGTTGGACCTGAACCATGTGAGGGTCAGCCGACGAGGAACCCCCGTCCGAAGCGGGGTAACCTACCATCCGAGATAGATCAGGAGTCCCTGAAGAATGTCAAGGTCACGGCACGAGTATTCATACACCAATTTCTGACACACGATGTGCTTGATTCTATCAAAAAGAGGGCGACTCTGCGCGCTACTCCGGGCCGTCACGGCCATGATGCACAGCCACGAAAACGGGCGGTCTCGACGGAGCTTCTGCGACGTGGTGCCTGGCGGAATATACATGCATGGAAAGTAAGGAAGCATCTGAGTTTGGAAGAAGGTGAGGTATTCCTCCGCCTGCAGGCCCGACGGTTCCATGGCGTTCAGGGACGAAGCACCCGACGATAGGGAGCCTCCGCTGTCTGAGATGCTCGTGTCCGGGGTCGAAGCAGAGCCGGTATTGCGGCTGGCGTAAACCGGACTGGGTCCGGAACTGCTGCCCATGGGGATATCGGACATGTTGGGAGGCGATGCGGCGTTGCTGTTTGACGAAGGTTGGTTTTCTGGCAGCTGCCCGAGCAGGCCGAGCATGGTGGTTGTGGTGACATTGCTAGGTTGGACGCCCGCGCGCAACAGCGAAACCAGATCCTCCAACTTGTCTTCTAGGCGGGATATTTTGGCCGAGCTTTTGGACGTGGCTGATCTGCGCGTGGTTGAGCGTCGACTGGCGGCGGATTGGCGACACTCTTTATCTAGGCGTTGACATCTGTCGGAAGAGGAGAACATTAATGCCACCCTTCAAGTGGATGGGACGATAAGCGAACCTCTGGCATCGACCGCCTGCCTTGGGATAGATACACTTGCATTTTGCTTGGGAGCAGTTGAAGCAAGAGCGACCGTAGGGAGCAGGGTAGGTGTCTTCCTGAGGCGACTCATGATCCATGGCGATGGGGACGGGATCGCCCACAGCCTCGCCATTTATACTGGTAGTTGTCGAGGCCATTCGACTGGTTCAGTGGCGTTGTATTTCCCCAGATGGGTTTATCTTCGAGAAAAAAAAAAGAAAACAAAATCCAGATCACGTAGTCTAGTGTAAAGAGAGGAAAAAGGAAGGATGATGACCGTCGAGCAAGACAGACATTGAGTAGGAGGAAAGAGTGAGTGAGTGAGTGAGTTGAGTGGGTTGAGTGGTGAAAGGGAAAGAAAGTTGGTGGTGAGATTGCGGGTGAATTAGGCTAGTCCCTCCTAGTCCCTCGCAAGTTCCCTCCCTAACTGACTACTTAGTAGTAGCGACTTAAACCCCTCGGAGTTTGGCAACTCCGAACTTGTTCTAGCGTCTCTGATTTACAGTTGCAGCCCGTGCTGCATCGTGGAGATGTCCTGTCAGCAGTGATTAGACTCGTGGGATCCATCGATGTGCCAAACCATATCTAATATCTACTTCATACATGATAGGGCCTTGGGCCTATCTATGCTAGGAGGAGCGGAGCGGTTATTTTCCACCCCCTCTAAGAATGCAGGGATCAAGAAGACTACTTATTACCTCTCGGCTTGTCGAGGACCCTGAGTGGCAAGCACACATGGGTCGATTGACCACTGTCTCAACCCAAGACTGACGCCCCACCATTCCATGCAGGAATTTGTTGATTGGCGGCGTAGGAGGCCCGACCAGATGGTGGCTTAGTCGAGTTAATGGCAAAAGGATCAGTCGTTCCATCTCAGCCTTACTTAGGGTGGGTGAGTAACGCGTCAATCCTTCCTTCCCTTCAGACAAAGTGGTGAAGGATTTGTCGATCGTCAGCCCCGAAGAGAAGGTGCGGCTGTAGTGGTTGGAGAGTCCAATTGTCTTTCTGGGGTGCGAGAAAGAGAGGGAGAGAGGCAGTCAGCATGTCGGACTCGGGCTGTCAATCCATACTACCGTGGTGGAGGTCGACCTCCGCGTGGCCCCGGCAATCACGCACCATCAGGAGACCCCGGATCACGGAATCAGCTTGACTTGCGAGAACATGCGATTAGATATCTGACCCCATCCACGATCATGAATGGGTCCGTGGCCTGAAGAGCTGCACGATTGAGGAGGGAAGGGGGAATAGTGGGGGGTGGGAAACTGTAGACGCCACGATGGCACCGCCCCATGCACAACGCTGTTGCACGCACTAGATAGTAGATACATCTGTGCTTGACCATTGAGTCTAGCAGGCTGCTAAATTAAACCGGTCGAAGGGGTGCATTCCACGATGCACACGTGGAATCGTTGGACCGTCGAGCCTGCGTTGATTTCTCGGAGTTGGTTCGGTTTGGAATTGGATTGCTGTCCGGGACTTGGTGATAGCGGGCTCCGAGGACCTGTATGTATTGGCAAAGGGTTCTAGTCGATGCAAGGCGACCAAGGTGTAGAAAGGATGGAGAATCTATCGACCTTTCCGAACCGGCAGCGCTTGCTACCCCAATCATAAGTCATTCCACTATTGTCAGTCGATGGAACCTGCCAGAGATCAGACAGACGTGTGCAAGCGGTGGAACGGAACTTATGGTCTCGTAGTATGCATGTGCTCTGGCGATAAAAGCAATCGACCTGTTGAGATTCTCCCTAGCCATTAAGCCACTGACCTATCAACAAGCCATTGCGGCACCAGATCGGAGTACGTCGACGTTGACGACTGCCAATATGCAAGATGGAGAATGTCCGCTCAATCGGGAGTCTCCCAAAACAAAAGCAAGGAAACCGAATGAATGAGACAGGGATCGGCGGAATACGAGGACGACCCCCATTGCCAAGATGACTATGGAGTAGTGGGCCGAAGTCGGGGGAGTCGGGGGGATTCGCAATGCGAAGGTTCAAGAAGGAGAGTCGGGGCTTGTCAGCACCGATCGAGTTCTAGAACCAGAGCACGTGCTGGGGGTCAAGTTGCCTCACTGGACATGTCACGCCCGACAGGCTAGTCAGTAGCCCTCTCCCTCACAATGCATTCAGGTTCATACACTCAATCTAGACTTATATCCAGAGGAAGTCTAGTCATCAGTACCCATTGTGCTTATCAGCCGGTGAGAGCCTCGTCATGGTCACTGAAGCACGTGTAGAGCAGTGCTACTTTCTCCACATTGGTCAGGCCGGTAGCTGTGGATCCGCGAGGGAATGCTGGAATTGTGTCTGGCATTTCCGGAGGAGCGGCAAGACGTGCCCGTGCGTACAGTAGACAGGATGCACAGTGCACAGTACAACGTTGCCGAAGAATCTTATCTCCTATCACTTGCGGGGAACCCTTTCACCAACCGATCCGGTCACTGGAGGTTGACCAACTGTCCCCCGAGCCGACTCCTACATGGATATCCCCAGTCTGATCCCACCCTGTTGCTATCGCATAGCCTCTCACAAACACACACAAAGAACCTGGAATTTTTGAGGAGACTCCGGAGCGGGCCGAACCGTTTTGTCAATAAGATCCGCCGATGGACAGACATTCAGAGACCCCGCCAACAACACCAGTCGCGAAGGAATACCGTGATGCCTGGTGGGGGGGGGGAGGGGAGGGGGGAAGTGAAGCAGAAAATCCGAGGCTGATGAGATGTGCTTATTTTCGTGGTTGAACTCACAGCACTGCAGATTTGGGCATCAATAGCAGTGCGGCCCCTTCCGATAGCCACTGCTTCGGCAAAGTGGACGCGAGATGGCGCAATAACGTTGAGCATTGGTATCTCGAAGTAGCCTGATAGTATTTTGCACAAATTGAGTTGTAAACAAAGGACAGCTGTCGCCATTTCCAACCTCTGCGATTGGTGCAAACATTGTTCCGCGGGCACACACAGCCTTCGGCGCCGGTTCAGTTTGAATGAATCCAGATAAGGGCCTACTTTCGTCTGATCTTACTAATGCTCCTCGAGTCTATTTGTCAACGGCGCTTGTTAAACTTTCGCGACTGATCCACCACAGGGTCGAGCTGGTCCAACGACGAATAGTGACGGGATCAACGGCGAGTTTAATTATCTTGGGTTTGCGGCTAGATTAAAGCTCCAGATTAACCTTCGAGGCTAGTGAGAAACGCGCGTAGATTAGTCTCATGGTGGCTTGGATTTGCCCCAATGATGGCCGGCAGCCTCTTATTGACCTGGACACGCGAGATTTGGCGAACGCAACATTGATCTCGGTAAGTTGATAGGAATGTGCCTCTCTTCTCACGCGAAAGATCTCTAACACTGCACGGAAGGATAGCTTGTAGTTGAACAAACCAGCTGGACATCTTGAAATTTACCCGGGTTATTTACCCGCCCAAACTTGAAGCTGAGATAGCCTGGCCTGGCCGTCAACCAATCTTGTCGGTCAGTCCCGACAATACGTACTCGTACTAAGGTAGGCCCTTTTGGACAATATTTACCGGATGACCCACTTTCCGACAAGACTAAGACTAGTCCGCACTCACAGGAAGGAAGTGTATACCAGTAAATGCCACAGAGCGCAAGCCTTCTGGTCCCGGGCGGATTCGAAACTCGTCTGGCGAGGAAACAAATTCGTAGCCAGGAAGCGCCTCTTAACGTGACAGTTTGAGCCGCCACTCTAGCGAATCTGCAGCAAAGCTTAAGTGCCGATCGATATTCTCGACCACCTGGCGTGAGTGGCTGGACTGTCGTGTTATACAGGCCATATCAGCACATAACATGCCTGTCTGTGCTGACAAGACCTTGCTCGCCCTGGACGTAGAACATTCCAGTCTTTCTAGACATGACAGGCCTGCTTTCAGTCGTGATCTATAGCAGGTGCAGCTCTATAGTATGTGAGCGTGACATTTGTGGACTAGCCTATAGAAGCAAGCCACATACTAGGATGCCTTGGGTTACGTACGCCAACACAGCCCCGCCCAGTAAGCACTAACGCGCAATCGGTGTACAGTCTTTTGATGTTCTGAGAATTGGTTACCGAGGTGCGTTCCATCCTTTGAGGAGCCTCATTTGCCGGATAAGCTATGAGCCTGGTTCACGTGGGATGTTGCTGTTAGCCCAGCAGTCCACCGGTAGTCGACCGGCCGTTTTTGGCAGCTCCACACCGCGTACCAAAATGGGTGGATGCGCTATTAATGGAGTCACGCGCGGACAGCCTATCATCAGCCATATCAAGCTGAGCTATGACCGGCCCAGCGAATGGGGCCATGAGGTGGATCAGCATGTGTTTCTTCGGGACCGATACCGTGCAGACTTGGCCTGGACATCTATTTCCGACAATGAGGGGGTCAGATTCAGAGAAGCACACCTCATCCAGTCCACACGGCCTTGAACTCCCGTCAACAGCGCTTTTCAGCATTCCGGTACATAAAAACTGTGTGGGTGAACAGTGGTCTCATGTCCGAACATACGCGCCTATTTTCCATTCGGGCAACTTCCGTACGAGTTGAACGAGCGGGAGGCGCCAGGAGGCCCGGCCCTTCCAAGCCTCCAAGCCACCGAGACTCCACGGAGACGTGCACAAAGCCGCAACGATTGCTGCATTCGCCAAGGCTGGCGCCAAGATCGTGTATTAACCTGCTTCGAGCTAGGGGATGGGATGAATGGCAACTTTGCCTTCGCGGAATCATTAGCTTATCGCTTCATATGACCGCGCATTATCGAGTTCGTGTACCTACCTAGTCGGGGTGCCCGGTTACCGAAATGGGAGATTGTGCCTTACCATATCCTCGTAATTTGCAAACTTTCAGCAAACCGTGTATATGCCTCGTAATCTGCAACGGTATTGTAATCTGCAGCTGAGAGGTAGTAGTGAGTGGTGCTACGCTGACATGTAGCCCTAAACCCTCAACAACCTTCACCGTAACTCCCTTGTGTCGAATGTAAGTGCACTGCATCGCAACCGTCGTAGGAGAAACAGACAAGACGCCACTTATGGGCACGATTTGGGCCCCTCCATCCAAACCGCGAAATGCCCTCGCTCTCAGAGGGCGGAGAAATCAGCCCCCTGCGCTGCGACACTGCAACGGTGTCAGCTAGTGAGTTGGTTAGTGGCACAAATAATTGGAACGGACGACCAGACCGGCCCGCCGGGAGATCGGTTCCCGGCCACCGGGGAGGGAGAAGCACAAGAAGAAGAGGGAAGGTGGAAAGCGGACGGAGCCATCGCATCGTCCGTGATTTGTTCGACGACGCTGATCTTGGCGCATGAGTCCTTCCCGCTTGGCGTCACGCCTGTCAAGAGATACCATACCACTTTGTCCTTCTGTCAAGCCTTTCCCAAGAAGCAAGCCAGCACGCAAATGTTCAAAACAGTTTACCGAGCGGCTCGCTTGGCAAATTGAAAAGGGTCTTTAGCTTTCAGGGTCTCTACCCGATCAGCTCGAACAAGGGGCATCAGTTGAGCAGCAAACACCCAAATACCGGGGTGGACCAAGACAATACTGTCACTGCTTGCTCACCGAGCGGACGGACAAGTCCCCCACTCCCCGCACAGTTTGGACTCAGACAATTGATTAACGCAACAACACAGCAGCAAGCGGCTCTCCAACATGATGCAGACGGGAAATTCCTCCCAAGATCAAAACAAGGAATCTTAATCAGAACCCACTAGGTCGCATCCTGCAGGCTGCCATTGACGTCCCAATCATCTTGCAGGATTCATCAAGTGGAGTCTAATTCTGGTGTCGCCAGGCCAGCACCATCCAAGTTAGTGATTCGGCGATCCCCGCTCCCACCGATCCTGGCCTGCACAGACCCTGAATTCAGGCGTTTCGAGCCGGGGAGGCTCGAATTTGGGGACAATGACAACACCGTCCAAACAACGGGGGAAAAGCCACGGGAGGAAGGTTGAGGGGCAAAGGCAGGTTAAGCGGGATAAGGAAGCCTCTTCTGCCGATCCCCAATGGTGGACCAGTCTCAAGCGCTGGATCGGTACTTCTGCCCCCCCCCCAGAAAGATCATTCATCCCAATAGTCCTCGTCAGCCATGTGTGCGTTAAAAAAGAAGCAGATTAAGAATAAAGACGGAAAGCGTGGGAAATCGACGATATGGGGCCATAGGCTGATAGCCCAAGCCAGTGGAGACGCACCATGTGGCTACTGACTGCCGGCGTCCCCGACAGTAGATTTTACTCATTCTAGACCAGAGGAGGACATCTTCGCTGCAGCTTTGACGTGCAAGCCCAGATTAGTGGCAGATAGAAAGAGAAAGAAAAAAGAAAGAAAACAAAAAAAACAAAAAAGAAGAAAAGATATACTCACCACGCGAGAAGTGCTCGAGGAGGAAGGTGGAGGAGGAGCCCTGGAGACTGGAGTCTGGAGGAGCGCTTTCCTCCCAACCATTCTTTCTTGAGTTTGGTGCAAGATCATCTGGGGTCCTTATCTAGAAAGTCTCAGGGCGAAATTTTATATTTTCTTTTTTGACGACCAAACCGGGTATTTTTCTCGGGTGTAGTGCTATACCTAGTCTTGCAGAGGTGCCTGCCCACAAAAATTCCAAAAAGCGCCAGCTCCGTCAAATGTCCGAAACAAAAGCTGCCAAAAGGTGTGATGTCGCCACCACCAAATCAAATTGCATCCCGGCAGGGAATCAATCCGAGCGTGAAAATTGGTCGCGATAAGTGGTGGGTTGAATTTGGTTGTGAAGAAGTCGTTTGTCGCTTTGTGATGTTTAGATTAGTGTGCTCCCCTAGCATGGGCGGGCACGGAGAGGACTGTGGTCCCGATCTTCGCTGTAGCGTGAGGAGGGGAGGAGGCATTGTTCTTTGCTGGGTCGCAGGGATCAATTTGTGAACAACTCGCACAAATCGCAGTATGATCTGGCATGATCCCATGGCTACCACGTTGCCCTTCGACTGGGATTATTAGCGCATGTGGTCTAAGCCTCGCTGTTGGAGTGTGAAAGGAAGTGTGGGTGTGGATGTCTGCCGATAAGCCTTCGCACGACAAAAGCGGCTCTTCGGATTGATTGCACTGTAGAGAGAAAGTCCGGAGAATCCATTATGATTGTGTTATTCACATGGATGAGGGATGGGAGTTGGGATAAGCATCTCTTGCCCATGCTCTACGGCCTTAGGTGCCTCATCTGCCACCACGATGCTCATAGCGGAGCCAGTCTTGGTCCTCCTTTGCCGCTAAAGAGCGTATGTTGATCGAGTGAAGTCGATTGATTCCCTACGGGACGGGATTCGGACTCTGAGCGGAATTCGGGCCCCGTCGATGCAAGTACTCGTCAGCCAGACCTGCGGCGCTTCCAAGAACTATATAAAGTAGAACGCCGAATGAGCAGCCATCTTGAAACTGCTGTGCAATCGCCGAACAAAAGGCAGACCGAGCGGGAGTCCTAAGAAATCACGACAATGGCAGTATGGTATTCACAAAACCGAGAAGAGAAAAGGAGAAAGAAAGAGATACCAACCAGAATCTGAGCCCGGGGAGGGGGGAGGGGGGCATTTTTTTGGCCCCCATGACAGAGCATTGAGGCGAAAAGCAACGGCGAATCCTTCATGCCGGAGAGTGATGGACGGATTCATGCAGCTAATGCTGGACGGGCAGTCTCAACAATCTCCCCGTCTATACGAGATTATCTAAGCTAAGTGGCATTTCCTCATTCGGACAGACCAAACACTTCTTCCCCTCGCTCTGTCCATTAATCATTATTAATTTTTCCACACCCCCAGACCCTTCAAACCTTCTATCACTGAGTCCGATAGAGTGACAACCCTGATCGGGGTCCGGCTTATTTGCGTCGTCGATGGGGCTTCCTCTCCCTCATTAAAGAAGATCCATCCACCACGTTTTGATCGGATCGTCAAGGTGAATCGTCACTGTATCATCACACGATACTCTTGGTGTTGTGATATTTGTTCAGTCGTGGTTGTCATCATTGTTGTCGTCACCTTCATCATTGTATCCCAAGATGAGTTGGGAGCCCTCAACGTCCCCTCAACTGCTGCCCGAGTCGGCATCGCAGTCCCCTCCCGATCTTCAACAGCAGAAATCCCCCATCCTTCGGAGATCCCGACAGAGCCCCGGGTCGGCCTGCGAGGAGTGTCGTCGTCGGAAGTTGCGGTGTGATCGACGCACCCCAAGCTGTGGTGTCTGCACCGCAACGGGGGTTATCTGCCATTTTACCGCCACCCGATCTGAGCGAGGCCCCAAGCGGGGGCATCTAAAGCAACTGCAGCAGCGCATGGGTATGTTTCACCGGATTGACAGCGTCCCTCTCGGTGAACATAGGTTGGATATCCGCAGAGTCTGACCGTGCAGCAGCAGCGCTCGAGGAGCGTCTTCTCCTAGGCAAGGAGCATGGATTGTTCCTGCAGGAACCCGTTCTTCACAGCGTCTACAAGGTGCAGGCCCCCTTGGATAACATCAAGATGGATAAGATCCCTTTCCTGCCGCCGGATGGGATCGATCCGTTGCTGGATTCGCCGCCCTCGGAGTCGCAACTGCTAATGTCTGTCACGGAAGTTCCTATGTGGATGCGTGAAGAACTGTGAGTCTTTCTGTGCCCTGTTACATCGCTAGCTCATGTCCGACCGTCTGCGGAGATATGAGAAGGACAGGGGTTGTACGTGAATGATCTCCCTTGCTGACGAGTCAACGATAGCGACCAATTATACTTCGATCGGGTGCATGTGTTCGCCCCCATTCTCCACCAGGGCCGGTATATGGAATGGAGTCGTCAGCGGGTCAAGAGCGAGGCCAAGACTGCCCTGCAATATACCATGTGGACTTTGGCAGCCTCGTTTTCTGGACAGCTGCAGCACGTAGCCAGCACACTATACCACGAAGCACGATCTCGGATAGATCTGCAGATGCTGGGGGACAATGTGATCGACACCATTGAGATTGAGAATCTGCAAGCGTGCATCCTGCTGGTGATGCATGAGTCCATCACATCGTACGATGAACGAGGGTGGCTTCGGGCGGGGTATGCATTTCGGCTCGTGCAACGAATGCGACTGTATGAAATTGACGCTCCAACGTCGCCCAAACTTGCCGCTTGTGATGACTGGGTCATGGTTGAGGAGCGACGGCGCATGTTCTGGATGGCGTACTGCTTGGACCGATTTCTCAGCATGCGCGATGGCCGACCATTGACGCTGATCGAGCACCTGGTGCGTTCCTTCTTTGGGCTTCCCGACCACATCGACTGACATCCTGCGATCAGATATCCACACGTCTTCCCGCGCCCGAAGCGGAGTTTCAGAGCGGCCAGCCCGTGGAGATGGAGTTCTTGTCCACTGCCATCACCTCGGGCGGGCCGCGCCTCACCTCCCCCTTTGCCGAATGTATCATGACAACGACGGTGTGCGGTCGCGCTGTCATCCACCACTACCAAACCAGACTCGAAAACACCTTCACACATGACTCTTCCAACTTTCATGACCGTCACAAATGGATCCACAACACCATCAGTCAACGAATTAATATCCTCTCTTTCAATACCCCCAAGTTCACTGAGAACAGTGATCCCATGTTTCTTTTCACGCGCATCCTCGCGTCGACGACCGCACTGTACCTCTACCACACTCTCAGTCTCACACCATATGAACCCATCCCAGAAGACGACATGTCGCTGTTCTTAGACTATGGCCACGCTGCGTTGTTGGAAGCGCAGGAGATGGTCCATTTAGCCAATATTTTAAACAAAGTCAACTCCTTCAAGGTAAGAATCTCAGCGCAGTTCTGCGGTGGGCAACGAGACCGACAGACTAACCTTGACCAGATCCACCCCTTCACACATATTCCGCTGAGTCTCTGCGTTGACATCTGCAACACATACAGAGACCGCGACGGAGCCATCTGTGCCAAGCTCCAGGAGGTCTTTCACACCCTGCGGAACCTCACGTGGGTCAACAGTCTGGGGGAGAAGCTTCAACAGGTATTAGGTGGGTCGATATGATCCACCATACTGAATGGGATTGTGGGTAGTCGGGCAGAATAGAACCGAACAAGAAGAACAGAGAATCCTTCTCGATGGTGTGATGGGTGGGTGGCTGGAGCGTTGGCGTTTATTGTCGAAGCCTTTTTTTTTTTTTTTTTTGCTGTTGTGTTTCATGACCGCGCCAGCTAAGCCATGATGGCGCTAGATCATTGTGCATGTATGTTTATGCTGGTTTCCTTTTTGATGACGATGAGCGCATGCCGGACATTGAACCCATTCACAATTTCAAGTCGCATCTTCGTGCTAGATTCTTCTGTGGGTAGCACTATCAGCCCTTGGAAATAGCAGTAGCAGCAGCAGTAAGGGGCACTTATCTCAACACGAACCCCGATCCACCGTGCAAATCCGACGCAGCGAAAGAACACCAGATGATCATGATGCCATTCCACCAGCAATCTCTCCCTCTCTCTCTGCGCTCCAAAAATCCGAACGGAATTCAACTAGCAGCGGACTTCCGCCACCAAACACAGCCATCACCCAGCTGTATCAGATTGTCAAAACGAACACAAACCGCACACAACCAAATCCCAAGACGAAGAAAAGGATCCCACAGGGGGTATTTAACCCCTCGCCGAACCAAACACCGCAATCTTACTCCCCAAAAGCAGGACCCAACAATCCCCGCGAGAGTAAACCAGAGTGAGAACGCACCAAAAGGAGCAGTCCATGGAAATGGACTCCGAGCCAGACGGGCACAGAACTGGATTTCTGTTATGGGGGTGGTGGGCGTGGGTGTGGGCGTGCCCGGGCTCAGCGACCGGATTGACCGGGATTCGGGATTCGTGGGGTGGGATTGAAGTCCGGATTCCGGGGTCAGCGCAGCGGATTTGGGTTGGTTTTTATAGATTTGTCAGGGATCGGATTTTTGGGGTATGGCTCTTATGGTTATTCACTGTTTGCGAAGGTTTTGTGTGGTTTGTTCGTTTGGGGTTGGGCTGTGTATGTACAAGTATTCTTCTGATGATGGTGGGTTTGTTTAAGTTTTCAGTTGATGTGCTGTCTATCCCTGAAGGCTGGCTAGCTACCTTAGGGGTTGAGGTAAGGTAAGATGTGTAGTAGGCATGCGAGTGGGATTGGATTGAATGGGATTGACTGAATCCCGGTGTACTCCTGCATCTGACTACTTTGTCTGCCCAGTCTGGAGTGTCTACCATGCAGTAGAAGAAGAAGTTGAACCCCGTGACGACTCGAGCAAGTAGTGTACGTAGGCTGCACTTTGCACTGCAGTGCTACTCCCCCCTGTGTTTACCATATTATTGGTCCAGGGAGGAAAAGGGTTCAACAGGACTCGAAATCCGAATCCAACCCCGTTGATCTACGCTGTCAATACTCTTTGGAGGGCTGATTTGGGCCAGTCTTGAGCGTGGAACGGGGTTGGGGAAGGATGGATGGATGGACACAGACATGAATTTGCTTTGAAATCCGGATTCAATCCCGGTTGCTGGCAGATAAGAAGGGTGGATGCCCTTCTCAAGTCGGTGGTAGCTCAGGCTCTGTCGGGGGATGGCCTGGGGTTTACTGTTATAGGTGCTCGTAGCTAGCCTTGTGTGGGATCTGGAGGATCGCGGGATAGCGGTCTGTATGTAGCGGTCAAGATTAATTACATTAATGACTCGTGGACTCGTGGTCTGCCCGGGTTTAGGGTTGGTTGGTCAGTGGTTTGTTTGTGAAGATCGTGGAGCTGGGTGTTGTGATGCTGTTTGCACTGGTGCTGGGGTTGGCGTGGGTTCCATACTGCGTAACCTCTGACATGGTACTTCCACCTATGAGGATGCAATGGATGGGATCGGGGCGCCGTATAACAAGCTCAGTTGCCCTGCTTACTTTAGGCTACTAGCAAAGATGAAAGTAGCCTGAAGATCTGACTCCTCGTCCGCAGCATAGAACCATAGTGGTGTCGATCTTTACGGACCGAGCTTTCCAGCCGGGATGTCGGCGGGTTTAGTTCGGACCGTAGACACGGCCCTTGAGGCTTATGTCGGGGCTAAGTTTAAAGGACTGGTGCTGTGACTAGACTGAATGTGACTCCGTAGTTCTGCGAAGAGGCTAAGCTTTGAGTTTGAGACTAGTGATGGGGACTGAGTTGAGTTATGGATTAGGAGGGAGGGTTCCGTGCTCAAGGGTGTCATCTGGTCTAGTAGTTTGTAAGGGCTGCTCTGCCGGGATAGTGATTGTATTTGGCCTTGAGGTTATACCTAGATGTTCTGATATAAAGAAGATAGTGTATACACAGAATATGGGGTGCATACCTAGGGCTGCCACTATGATGCTTAGTGAGTGAGGCGCTCTTGGTTGACGTTCGCCATTCAGAACCTAGAAATAAACTCTTTGTCTGAAGAATTGACCCAAAAGCAATCAATGTAGCTGGCTCGTGATGATGAGGCAAGCCACAGAGCAAGCCTTATCCTACATGGTCAGGTGACCACCACGTGGCTAGGGCTGGATGCTGACAGCTGAAGGGATTGACAGACACCGCGAAATCCGGGATCGTCAGGTTCACTATCCCAAAGGAAAAATAGACTGCAAGATCACTCAGATCGATCTACAAGCGATGATCGTTTGAAGTGCCATGAATCGACATGGCCCTGGTATAGCCCTCACCCACTGGCTGGACGAATCCGACCCTACCATATAGGGAATAATTATGATAGCATAGCGAGTAACTTCTACGAGGAGATCCTGAAGAGAGCACTGCACTAGAATCTTTGCTAGGCATTAGTCCACCACCGGCATTCCGATCGACGTCTTCCTAAAATCAAGGTCAAGCGGGGGGACTGGGGAAAGAAAGGGCGGGCGGATTTCATTGTGGAGTTCGTGATGGAATTGAGTATGGGATGGAATTCCAGGCCACAGAACGGAATTAATCGTGACTCCAGAGTCAGAGTCAACCCCGCTGGTGCCGTAGCGTGCGGGCCCACAACTAAGCACTCAACACAGTAACGATGAGGCCACGAGGGCGCGAAACCCGCGGTGGTTTCCGGGCCCGCTCATTGGGTACGGGATTGAAGCTCAAACCCGCGGGGGCTCGCGTTGGGGGGAGAGAACCCTACTAGCCTGAAGCACGCACGTTTTTCGACACCGAGGCCAAGCCGCTCCGCAGCCATCGTAAGCAGTGTTATTCTGCAGAGAACAGCGCTAGTTGTTCCCTGGACGCTGAGCTGCTCATGGTGCGATAGGCCTGAGCCTACGGACTTGGCCATAGATCGGGTTCTCCACGAAATTCCGTCGCCAACTGCTGAACCGGAATCTGGAATCTGGGATCTCGTGAACAGCATTTCGGGCTTCACGTCTCACTCAGATCGGTGTGCAACATTCCGTTGACCTCAATCTCATCCCTGGTATATAATGAATTTGGAGATCCAGATCTTCACCATGTCCCAGAACAGCAATCCAATCCAACCAGCCTCACCAGCTCGCTCCACCATCACCACTAAGCCACCAAGCTTCTCCATTAGCTCTCACTCCACACTCTAATCTACATCTACATCTAAATTCACCTCCACAACCACATTTACCACAATGTCTCACTCCAACCAGAACGAAGTCCTCGACGTCGCCATCGTTGGCGGCGGTATCGTCGGCGCGGCCCTCGCCATCGGCCTTCTCGCCCGCGACATCAACGTCACCATCTACGAGCGCAGCAACTGCTTCAGCGAAGTTGGCGCCGGCATTGGCTTCACGCCCAACGCGGAGTCCGCGATGAAGGTGCTCGACCCGGCCATCCACGCGGCCTTCAAGAAGGTGGCCGTGCAGAACACCACCGACTGGTTCACCTGGTCCAACTCAGGCAACCGCGAGGAGGGCGACCTGGACGAGCCCATCTACAAGATGTACGTGGGCGAGCGCGGGTTCGAGGGCTGCCACCGGGCGGAATTCCTGAACGAGATGTTGAACCTCATCCCCGCGAACAAGGTCAAGTTTCGCAAGAGCCTGGTGGCGGTTGAGGACCGCGGCGACGACAAGAAGCTGTTGATGCGCTTCCAGGACGGAACCACCGCGCAGACCGATCTCGGTTAGTTATCCCGTTGTACCCAGTTTAAACAACCGACCGCTAATATTCTACAAACAGTCATCGGCTGCGATGGGATTCACTCCAAGGTGCGCCGCATCGTGCTGGGCGACGACCACCCCGCCGCCTACGCGGGCTACACCCACAAGTACGCGTTCCGGGGACTGGTGCCGATGGAGAAGGCGCTGCCACTCCTTGGCCACGAGCGGGCCTACAACCGCCACATGTACATGGGCCCGGGAGCGCACATGCTCACCTTCCCCGTGGCCAGCGGGCTTCTGTTGAACGTGGTGGCGTTCGTGCACGACGAGGAGGAGTGGACGGGGGAGAAGCTGACGGCGATGGCGACGAAGCAGGAGGCGGTGAAGGCGTTCGAGCACTTCACGCCGTTCACGCGGGGGATCATCGACCTGCTGCCGGAGACGCTGCACCGGTGGGCGATTTTCGACATGGCGGCCAACCCGGCGCCGACGTATGTCAACGGGCGGGTGTGCCTGGCGGGCGATGCGGCGCACGCGTCGGCGCCGCACCACGGGGCCGGAGCGGGTATGGGCATGGAGGACGCGGCGGCGCTGGTCGAGCTACTGCAGGCGGTGCACTCGCAGGCGTCGCGGGCGTCGTCGCCGCACTCCCTCAGCGGGCTGCTCTCCGCGGCGTTGGCTACCTACGACCACATCCGCCTCGACCGCACGCAGTGGCTCATGCAGACCTCGCGCTTCGTCGGCGAGATGTACGAGTGGCAGCACTCGCGCGACCCCGCCCAGATCTGCCACGAGATCGACTCCCGCTCCTCCAAGATCTGGAGCTACAACATCGATGAGATGATCCGTCAGACCCGCCAGGACTTCACCCGCCGTCTGTGGGCGCTGCACGCCCCTGTCGCCGACAGCTCCCCCATCAAGTTCCAGACGGGCTTCCTCCAGCAGACCCCCGTCGTCGACCGCATGTTGTGTACCTCCTTGACGGTGTGACTCTACGATTCCTTTGTTGGTAATGGCTTGGCTTGGCGTTCCTGTTTGTTCATAGATTTCTGGTCTTGGTTGTTAATAATGATAATACCACGTTTTCCTATCTGATAAACCCTCATTCCTGATTCCTTGTTTTTGCTTCCTTTGGTAGTGGTAAACAAGTAAACCACCTGGCAGTGGGTCTCAGCCCACGCTAATGCAAGTCAGAAGCTCGTAGCCTCAGTCTTCAAGGAGGATCAGGGTCAGAAATTCTCCGACGAAATTCCGATCTCCGGACTGTGGCAGCCAGCAGTCCAGACCAGAGGTTTGGACTCACTGTTTCTCTTATCTCCGCTTAAAGAAGTAAATGGTGCGGAGTTAAGCATCCATAACGACAATTTCCCGCTCGATCACGCTTTCTGATGATGTCGCTCGGACACTGTAGGTAGTAGATACATACAACTCGGGATACTGTGGACTCTGCAGCGCATAACCTCATTAGGTCAGCCACCCTAGTCTGAAATGGTAACTCTGAGGACAATCCGGGCAGACCCGGCCGGGGTTCAGGCGGAATCCCAGCGATGGGAAGCGGAGAGTCCTGCAGCCGTTGGATGACGCACCGCATTACCTACCTAAAAACCATTCACGCACTCCAAAAGTAACTTCTTCAACGACAAGATTCCATACACGTACACTTGACAGAAGTACGTGACTGCAGCTCCTCAACTAGGAAATAATTTACAAGATAGAAACCGAAGGCTCTTTGGCTTGTCTTTGACTGAGAGACCCAGTACTTGACAGCTTATGCTGATTCATAGTCATGATGATTGTAAGCAGCACTTAGATAATATATCTGTCATAGTGTCCCGAAGTCATGCCGGACTTGAGTTTGGTCTACATGTGATCCGTACTCGGGGTATGTATAAGCAGGGTAGGCCAGTAAGCGATTAAACGCATAGACTACACCTTTAGAGACGATCAAGCTAATATCCACAAGTTACAATTAAGCATCCACATTAATCTCTTTTGCTGATTAGATGCAAGAATCTGGGGACACGATCCAAACAGAGGTCGTGGTAGTATAGTAATAGACCACAATGTATGTCTCAAGAAAACAACAAGTAATCAGGCACCGGCTTTCACTGCAGGTCTACGCGTCAATGCTACAAATAGACTACAAAAAAATTGCTTATGCAGATTGAAGGGTTAGAGACAAGTCCTCATTGACATAGATACTATACACCCAATCGCCAATTTCTAAGTAAGAACATTGCTGCGCTTCTCTAGTCCTCATATAGTCTCATACCATGGATCTCCCCTTCAACCCCGCACCACCCACCCGGTTGCAAAAAAATACCAAAGCTATTGCTCATCAAAAATCATCATCATAGGGAATAATAAAGCAAAACGAAACTTCGCCCCCAAAACTCCAGAACTCCAACTCCAACTCCATATACACAGTATCCCCGAACCCCATAGAAACACATTCCCCGCCCAGAAAGAATAATCCCACTCCATAACTCAAGGTTGATCCGTCATTTTCAACACCGCAGAGCCAAGGGTATCGTTCATGCGGCGCCTCAGCATCGACTCCAGAATGAAGCACATCGACTGATCACCATCACTGGGCGAGGCCTCGCGCCGACAGTACGATTGCGTGAAGCTCTCGACCAGGGCGCGCACCTTGTCAAGGTCGTTCATGACCATCTGCGCGACGATGCGCCGATGGTCGCCTTCGCTGAGCTCGAACTGGCCGATCTTGATGGGGAGGACGCGCACGCGCGTGGGCGTCTGCTGCATGAAGCCCATCTCCGGAATCGATTCACAGCCGTCCAGGATCGCTTGGTACCAGATCAGGATCTTGGAGATGGCTTGCGCGATGAGCGGGGCGAAGCTGAAGTCCAGCGAGCAGGGGCAGCCAATCACCAGGGAGAGGTTGCTCATGGCTTTTTGGTTGAGGTGGAGCACGGCGTCTAGGCTGCGCGGTATTGGTGGGTTGGAGTTGAGCACGCACTTGTCCGAGGGCGGGTGCAGGGCTTGCAGGGTATTGAAGGTGAGGGTGATGCAGGATTGGCCGTGAAGGGAGGAGATGCTGGGTGATGGGGAGGAGGTGGAGGATGGGGAGGAGGTCGACAGGGAGGAGAGCCCTGTTTGAAGGCTGGATTGCGAGCTGTTCTGCGTGACTTCCAGGACTGGGGTGGGCTGTGGCGTGGTAATGTCGAGGAGCCGCTGGAGCTCTTGATCCATCGTCTGCCAGTCGTCGATGAGTTGGAAGTCATTGTGGCCCGTGCTGGTGGATGGGTTCGCGAGGAGTCGGTCGGTCGCGGAGAAATCGTTCAGCTTCTCTGCGATGGCCTCGAGGTCGTTGTAACCCAGGGTGTTGAAGAGGTCGATGTGTTGGAAGTTGTTGTTGTTATTGTTGTTGTTGGGGTCGGCCCGGTCGGGCGAGCTGTTTTGAGTGTCCGTGACGGGAGTGAGGTTGCCCCCCGGAGGGATTTGCGAGAGACGTCGTCGCCCTCGTGGTCGGATGAAGCCATAGTTGCATGGTTTGTTGCGCGCAACACATCGATCGCATCGTGGATGCTGTTTGCCGCAGCGCACTTTGGATTTGGCGCAGGCGTCGCAGCTGTCGCGGGTCTTGCGACTGGGAGGGAGATCGCTGCTGATGCTATCCCCCTCATCCATGAGACTCATGGTGGAGGTGTAAGGGGATGCGTGGTCGAGAGTGGGTGACCGGATCATGTTGCATCCAGTCTGTGCTTGGTTCTTCGGCGTTTTTGAGATGAACTACTGGAGCGAGTGCTTAAGTATGGCTCATCGTTGATGGAGAAAGAGTCGCAATTCCTGCTAATCCCGACCGAGCAAGTTGCAGGTTCGAGGCTCAACCTCTGACAGAGAGAAGAATCCGATCGCATGTTGCCGAGTCTACTAGGTAGAAATCCGAAGTCAATAATTCCTGTTGAGTTGGCGATGACCGGTGTTCAACGAGAGAGAGCAATTCCAAACCCGGGCTGCCAAGCCTGGTCGATCTGCCGTCTGAATCCCGTTCCAACCCCGGCGGTGAGCCCAGGGGTCAGTGCTGACCGCTTTGCTTTGGATTCTGCCAGGAAATAAGCATCCATGATGCTGCACTTGTCGACACTTGCTCTGCATCTCACGGCTGGCTTCATATCAGACACTTCGTCCCCGACTGGGCTCCAAAGTATTGCAAATGCTTTTAGATCTTTTGACTTCACTAGGCAATGGCAATAATCAGGCCATTGCGTCATCTCCTTATAGTCTTCAACGTTTCCCTTCATTCATTTCTATATTCACCTTAGTCTGCATGCGTATCTCATACCCAGAACTTATCTTTTGACCTATTTGTATACCATCGCTTGTGAAAACCTCACATCGTCGTGACTGTCCATCGTGAGAATCATTCATACGCAGCGGACTGACACGTTGCGGGCATGGCATGCTCAAATAGAGCTATCGGCCTCAGTACGCAGTCCAAGCGTCCCGACCGTTCACCCGGTTAAGGACCGAAGTCGGGACCCGAGACGGGCGCCACCGCCCGCATGGCGTCGATCCATGCGTTATGGGCCCCTCCAGCCTCCATCGCATTCCAACCCCCTTGCTGCTTGCTAACCTTCTCTCGGTTAATGTCCTGGTCGTGCCTTCGAGCTCTTCACATCGACGTATAAATCACAGAAATTGCAAGCAGTTCTATGATGTCCCCCTTACCTCCGTCGTCTAGCGCCAAACGCACCCTCGCAATCCTCACAAACGCCACAGCCTTATCGGAATTCGATGCTCTAGTCCGCCGCGGCCTAGTGGTCTACGCACCCTCCAAAGTTGTGCGCCTCACGGTTGACAATTTTCAAGTATGCAATCCATAACCCCCCTCTCCCATCCACAGATCTAATCTCTAGCCCAGTTCGAGTTCCATATCAATCAATCACTCGCCAACAAGCCTCAATCCGGCCAGGGTCTCCAAGTCTCAGACGAGAAAGCTACATCCAGCAACGATGGAAACAAACCACCAACCCCGTCCTCCAAACCAGCTACTTTTGGACCCGGCAGTGACCTCGCCTGCCCCACGCCCGACCTCATCATCGCCACCATCCACACCACCCATATCCTCGTCCCGAACGCCTACTGCGTCTTCCGGCCGCAATTTCTTCTCCTCACGCAGGACTCGTACCGTCGCCAGCACGAGCCTCTAGATCAAGCTGACCTCGAAGCCGCCCGCGCCGTGCTCTGCGCTCTGGGCGACGATCGGCCTTACTTCGCCATGTTCAATTGCGGCCGCACCGCCGGCGCAAGTAGACAGCATAAGCACATGCATATCATCCCTTGCAGTGACGAGGATATCGACCATGTCGTTGAGCTGCCTACGGAGAGAAGCAGATTCGAGAATGGCGATGGCGCGCCGAAGCAACCTATTCTCCCCAGTATTCTCCACCCTCGAGCAGAAGACATCCCCTTTGCTCATTTTAGAGTTTCGCTGTCCGCCTCTAAGTTTCGGGACCTGGCTTATTCTAAGTTTTTGCATGATGCGTATGTGTCTCTGTTAGAAGAGATGCACACCGCATTGGGAGGCGATGGAGAGTGCATCGCGCATAATGTCATTCTGATTAAGGATTGGATCATGGTGATCCCCCGGTCTAAGGATCGGAATTTGGATGTCGCGGTGAACGGGGCGGGGATGGTGGGGTCGGTGTGGTTGGATCGGGAGGAAATGTTGGCCCGCTGGTTGGAGATTGGGCCGGTGGAGGTTTTGCGGGGAGTCGGCTACACTCTGCCCAGCGAGTGACCTGTGGTCGGGCTATCTTGGGAGTGGTAAGTTCGTACAGGTAAACCCGCGCGGATAATCTAAATTTCGCATACAGGTACTGCTTGGCATCTCATCCGCATAGATTGTGAAAGAAATAAATAATGGAGAATTAAGCTAATCAATACCAATTAGATACACAAATCAAAGTCATCATCCAGAACAGCGTAGAAAACCACGAAACAAAAGAAGAGAAGTCTAATTACAAAAGCCCCAAAAGGTATAGCCAACTATCCCATTCGAAATTCCATCTATAGCTCCAAGCAGAACCGGTTGAACTCGTCGTCCTCAAGCAGACAATCCATCTCCTCCTCGAAGAGGTTCATAGCCAACTCGATACCGCCCTTACTGCGGCGGGGCAGGATGAAGGAGATGCGAGCGACGTGGTTGAAGGGCCCGTTGAAGCAGCGGACCGCCTCAGCGCGGCCTTCATTGCCGAACTTTTGGGTGCCGAAGCGGATCTCGTCGACGGGGAAGAGCAGCAGGTTGGAGATGAGCATGTCGGCGCCGGCGGTGCGGCGGAAGCGGGGCTTGAGCTGGGCGTAGTCGGCGACGCCCTTGATGAGGGCGTAGGCGTGGTGCAAGCTGGCGCTGTTGACGCGGCCGGCGCCGGCGCGGATGGCGCGCGCCACGCGGCCCAGCGGCACGGCCGGGTCGAGCAGGTCGGCGACGGGGATGGCCGACTGGTTGTAGAAGGTGATGTTGCCCAGGTAGCTGGGCGGCACGGACTGCGAGAACTCCATGCGGCCGTCGATGGCGGACTCGAGCACGGACTCTTCATCCAGCGTGTCGTCCGCCGCGGCGGCGCGCGCACGCACCAGACTGCGCCACATCAGCGCGGTCACGACGTCGTTGCCGGAGAGGGGACCGGTGTTCGCGCCCTCTTCGGAGGTGGCTTCCTCGCATTCCTTCTGCAGGGCGGTCATGTTGGCGGCGGACATGTAGAAGGTGCGGTTCTTCATGAGACGCGGCGGGTTGGGGTGGTCGTTGCCGAACCAGTTCTGGAAGTCGATGGGGGTGGTCGAGCCCTCGCTGGGGCGGAGGCCGACGAGCCCGCGGGTCCAGGCGTCGGCGTCCTGCAGCGAGGCACCGCCCTTGGGTGGGATCCAGAGCTTGTCGAGCAGCGTGCGGTCGGAGCTCTCGGCGGGGAACGGCTCGACGGGCTCGTTGGCGTCGTACAGGCTGCGGCAGTTGTCCGCCCACAGCTTCATGACCGTCACCATCGCCGTGCCGTCGATGGCTGCGTGGCACGTCGACATGCACAGCACGCAACCGTCCGGGATGAAGTTGGCCTGCGCTACGAACACGTCGCACCCCGTGTCCAGGTTGCCCTCGATCGGCACCGACAGCAACTCCTGGTCGTCGTACGCGTCGCTGGGGAACCCTTCCTCGCGCAGCTCCGCGAACGTGTAGTCCGACTCGAGCTCGTTGAACCGCAGCTGGTGCGGCAGCGGCCCGTCCACGGGCGCCGCCGCCGCTGGCTTGTAGCGCAGTTCTCGCTGCCCTGGTAGGTAGCCCGCCGCGTCGGGTGACTGCCGGAACACTTTGCCTCCCAGCCACGGCACCTGCACAAACGTCTTGTGCAGGCCCTTGCCCAGGTCCTCGAACACATCGATCGGTTTGGCTCCGGGCTGAAGGGGCAGGTAGTAGCACAGTTTGACGTAGTTGGGCCGGTGAAGATGGTCCAAGGCGTTGAGGGGGACGTGGACAATCTCGGACGACATGGTGTCGGCTAAATGGAGGTGATGTCGCTTAAAATGATAATGGTTTGATGTGTAAGGGTCTGGTCCGTGGGATGATGGTTGCCGCCCGCCTCAGAATTCACCTTACTGTGTGTAGATATTGTTGTTGGTGTTAGTGTTGAGGAATGCATCGTCTTACCCTTGAGTTAGGGCTTATATAGATGATGCGCATGGTTCACCATTTCGAATGATTCTGTCCTGACACCACTCCTGTGTCGCAGATACTCCTCAAACCCAAGTCAACTCCATGTCGGGGATCGCAGTCAGTCTGCCCAGGCCCAGAGTCAGGATACTCAGGACTAGTGGGAACACGCAGGCGCGCGACAGGGCAACCATCACGAGATAAAGTAGAAATTCGCGGCGACAATCGGGCATGAATTGGCCCGTCTCTGGCCGAATGAGGAAAAGCGCAGGACACATTCTCAGTTTGTCATCCAGCTGATTTATGTCCAGCTGAGTCACCTCTTTCCACCAATCATGACTCCCTCAATGGCCCCTCCAAAAGTGTCCGAGAGTCCGACGGAGACTCCGACGTTGCAGCAATCGGGCATTTCACCTCACTGTCACTGGCCGGCTTTCAATGCATCTCAATCCCGTTCCCGGCTGATCTTCCCATCTATCACCTACTCTCCTATGTACGATCAGCCCAAATCACTATTCCCAACTCTATCAATCCGTCTCGGTCACTTTACATATCACCAGGTTACCAAGCACAGGGGTGTTCGATCCTGTATATATTTGCTTGCCAGTGACTGCTTCTCTCCTCTCAATATGTCTGACCAGAGCATTTCAATCATACCACTCTCATCATCCTCATTGTTCATCTCCGATTACTATCTGATAGTATCCCACTCCACTCAGAGAGTGCCTTGACGACACAATGGCTACCCTCCGTCAATATATCGATTTGCGAGCTGCCGCGAGGGAGGACGTGACCAGAGCCCACACCCAACCCGACGGTGGCTCATCCTCCGGCTCCTCCACTCCGGACGAGAAGGAGACGGTGCTCATTCCTGGTGTTGAACTCTCGCGCCCCTCTGAGCGAGATGGCTCCGTCACCTATGTCGTGGGCTGGAAGGAAGGCGATCCCCTGAACCCGCAGAACTGGACGCGTGCCAGGAAGTGGTTCTGTACCGCAACGGTCTGTCTCATCGCCTTGGCTGTCAGTATCCCGGGTACCATCGATGCTCCTATTTCCGCTGCCTTCAACGAGAAGTACCATGTCGGTGAAATCGCCGGTACCATGGTCACCGGTAAGTTGACCCCTTTCCACTAATGCAGGGGTTGAGACTAATCGTCGCAGGAATGTATCTCATTGGGGTGGGTGTGGGCTCCCTGTTCGCCGGACCCTTCTCGGAAACTTTTGGTCGCAACTCAGTCTACTTCATCACCCTGATTATCTTCATGCTGTTCATCCTGGCTAAGGCCTTGGCTCCCAACTATGGTGCTGCCATCGTCTTCCGCTTCATCCAGGGTTTCTTTGGCGCTGCCCCCTTGACTGTCGGTGGTGGTACCGTGGGTGATATCTGGGGTCCTCTCGATGTCACCTTCAGCTTGCCGTTCGTGACCATGGCCTCGTACTCCGGTCCCATTCTGGGTCCCATCATCGGTGCCTACATCCCTGCCGACAAGTCCAACTGGACTGACTGGATCTCTCTCATCATTGCTGGTGCTGTGCTCGTCTTCGTCGCTCTGTTCCAGCCTGAGACCTACGGTCCCACCTTGTTGTCCTGGAGGGCCAAGCACCTGCGGGCTGCCACCGGCGACTCCCGCTACCAAGTCGACGAGTCTGCTTCCACCAGCTCGCTGGGCAGCCGTCTCATCGTCAACGTCTACCGCCCATTCCAGATGACTCTGACGGAACCCATCGTCCTGCTCTTCTCCTTCTACCTGATCCTGCTCTACATTGTCCTGTTCACCTTCCTAAACGGTTTCCCCTTCATCTTCACGCAGACTTACGGCATCTCCAACTCGCTCACCTTCATCATCTGGGTGGCCATGCTGGCGGGTGATGCTGTTGCCATTATGCTCATTCCGCTGATCTACGGCTGGACCAAGAAGGCGGCGGTCAAGGCTGCGACCAACGGTACCGCTCTGCAGGCTGAGGTTTCCCTGTACTGGGCCATGGTGGGTGGTTCTTTCTTGATGCCGATCTCCTTGTTCTGGATGGGCTGGACCTGTTACGTAAGTTGTCCCTGTTTTTACTGTCTGATCTTACCTAACGCATCTCCCAGTCCGACATCAGCATCTGGTCTCCGATCATCGCGACTTTCGTGTTCGGATACTCCCTGGTCACCATCTTCACGGCGACGTACCTGTACATCGTCTTCGTGTACACCGTCTACGCCGGTTCCGCTCTTGGCTTCATGACCTTCAGTCGTTATGTCATCTCGGGTGCCCTGCAGCCCGCCTCGATCCCGATGTACCAGCACATGACTCCTCACTGGGTGCTCACCCTGGTCGGTATCCTGGCCACCATCATGGCTCCCATGCCCTTCCTGCTCTACAAGTACGGTCACCAGATCCGTGCCATGTCCAAGAACGTGCAGAACAAGGCCTAAACGACTGCTGGCGGCACCACCACACCACCAAGCAAACATTGACAAGCGTGCGCACGCACCAATCCAGCGCACCAAACCAACCAACCCACCCAACCACCAAGTTCAATGCCAACCTGGTAGAGATATACATGCATAGATCGGGGAAGCCGGTGAGGGAGTAAGACCAACTTTCCACCGTATAATTGGCGATTTCCTTTTTCCTTTACTCTGAGACCCCCACCCCCAAATTTGGCTTGACAGTTTGTGACTTCTGATTCCCTTCTAATTTTGCATATATCCATATGTGCGAAGAGCAAAATGTTTGGTTTTAATTCTTTGGAGACGACTGAATTTGATGTGGATTGTTTTTTTTTACTGACTGGATTGATGAACACGACATGCGATGAGAACTCATGGTCTTTATTTAATGAAATGAAAGAGTTGGATTGACTGCAAGATACCTTAGACTGGCTTTTGTATGGTATGATTATAGGGTGACCATGAAATCTGTTTGAGATTTGGAGTCTTGGTCTTGAGTAGATGTAGGGCTGGCTTCCGTAAGGCGGGTGATGTTTCACTCATGTTACGTTTCGGTGATGTTACATTTCAACAACTTTACGTTTCGAGCGACGTTTCAAGCGACATTTCAAACATTTCATGCGATAATTCAAGTAGACCAAGCAACAATTCAGCCTACTTTCCAAACTACATGTCCAACAAACTGTATGACTCTGGATATGATATGAGAAATAGATTAAGATCTACTTTGTCTCAAGGAAACTTCACTTTTCAAGCAATGACCCAAGGAATGAGTGGTGTCAAGCGAGGTGAAATTTCACTCAACTTCACGTTTCAATCCATGTTACATTTCAACCACTTTACATTTCAACCGTATTTACATTTCAAGGAACTTTTCGAGCACTCGGGCCTTCACAATCATCATTCCAGCCGTACATCCATGGAGTCTCAAGAAATGCGATATCACTGAATCTTGATAACGAGTTGCTATTTCCTTTTGTACTTGGTTCTTCAAGTATGAATATAATGCTTCTAAGAGCAGCTGATGAATTTCCGTCCATTACCTAAATCATGCTGTTTCCATACTCTGATCGACAGTGCGTGGGGAGATTACGGTGCTATTAGTAGCATTAGTATTAGGAGGCGGAGGAGAAGAAGAAGGAGGAGGAAGAGGAGAAGATGGTGGTGGTAGTAATAGTAGTAATAGTAGTAATAGTAGTAATAG